ATGTGCTTTTATTAATCATCATTAAAAACTGTTTTCAGCTAGTGTAATAATTTAGATTATTCAATCTTTAGTTGATTACAATGATAGTATAGTTAGGAGTCAAAATGCTGTATTTAAGTGTATTAAACTCTTAGTGTTGTTCTGTTATACGTCAAGTACAAGTGATTTCGGAAATTGATTTTTTCCTGATAGAAATCAGTTAGGGAACCCAATGATAACAATGGGGTACTTATATTACATTTATTAGATACGCTATATTCACTTTCATTTGTTAGAGAAAACAAATGAACATTTTAGGCTGTTTAGAATTAATAATCAATGAGAAGATACTATGAAATATGTTTGTTTCTAAGATTTTGGTTTGTTTTTCTTCAATGTCTATGTATGTTTGTTTATATTTTGTTTTTTGATTTAAATGAAACAACAAATCTTACCAAAATTATTCATTTAATTGAATATACAATTAACTCAATTAAGTTTCTGAAAAAAACCTCCTCAAAAATGATGTAATCTATAAAATTGCCCCCCTGAATGCCCTGGTACGGCCGAGAGTGGGGAGAGTCCGCTCTCCCTCTCGAAATACTCTCACACGGCCACGCGTATACAGCCTCTGCCAGGGAAGTCCTACTCATTGCCTTCTCGTGGCGGGGGTGTTGTCTACGAAAATGAGAGGACGAAAAGCGAATGTCCGGCGCTTTAACCGGATTCCAAATCAATGGTGCACATGGGCTCCAGTATCCTGCGGGAACGAATGGCGTATGAACCAATCGTTGGTCACCGGCTACCATGGGACTGCATCTCCTTACGATGCTCCACTGCCTTGTGGGTTAGACCTTTAGGTCAAAGGCTCGGGGAGTGGCCCCCTAAGATAACCACCTGCTTCGGTTTGGGCACCCGGGCAGTATCACAGCCCACACACAAATGATGAACTCTTTATGCCTATGGAAATTACCTTTCTCGCTTTGAAAAACAAACAATTGATTCAGATTATTATCATTACAATTATTGTCATTATTAATACTAATATTATTATTACTACTATTATTGTCATTATTGTTATTATTATCATTATTATTATTATTTTCCACATTATTCACCCTCTTTTATACTTATACAGCGGCTCGTCTTTGGTGGAAATCCGACTGTATCTAAACGTTCTCGAGTCACTGTCCGGTTGAAAATTGTATGTTACCACCGAATACGAGGACTGAAGCAGATTTTCTGAAACCACGTGCACCATTCAAACTGGCTGCCTTCAACGTTCGCACATTTATGCAGGTCGGACAACAGATAGGGCTGGCTATGTCTTTGGAAAGTCTTAATATCGACGTGTGTTGTCTATCCGAGACCCGTATTCAAGACTCTGGCGAAGTACTACAAATTCGATCTCCATCTGTCGCTTCGAAAAGCTTGTTTTACGTGCGCTTATCCGGGGACCCTGTGGCATCTTCGTCTGGTCTTGCTGGCGTTGGTGTCGCACTAAGCGCTAGAGCTGAGGCAGCACTAGTCGATTGGATCCCCATTAACAGTCGGTTATGTGCTGTTAGATTAGAAAGTTCCATCAAAGTGAGAAGAAATCGGCGTGAGAAACGATGTCTTTTCGTCATCTCCGCCTATGCCCCGACAGATTGCAGCCCGGATGCAATCAAGGATGAGTTTTACCACCAGTTATCAGTTCTTCTCCAGAAAGTGCGTTCGACAGATATTGTAGTACTAGCCGGAGACTTGAATGCTCAGGTCGGGCGTCTAGGCACAGAAGAGAGTCGTTTAGGTGGCCGATGGGGACTCGTTGGTCGCAGGTCAGATAACGGGGACCGTCTACTGCAACTTTGCACAGACCACAACCTGTTTCTGGCTAGCACTAACTTTCGGCACAGTCATCGCCGATGTGCCACCTGGCGTCCTCCCTCTGCATCTCAAGCCTGGACTCAGATTGATCACATCGCGATCAGCTACCGCTGGCGTGGTTGTGTACAAGACTGCCGCTCCTTTTGGAGTACCTATCTGGACTCTGACCATGCCTTGGTCTGCGCCAATCTTGCCTTACTTTTCAGTGGACAACGAAGTGAACGCCATCAACGGATTGATGTTAGCAAGCTGGTTGCAACTTCTGTTGCAAGTAAGTATCGAACCGAGCTAGCCTCTAGGCTAGCTACCACTCCACCGAAAAGTATAGATGAGCATTGGTTGCAATTGCATGACGCCATGAAAATGGCGGGAACAGTCAGTTGTGGGTTTGCGAAACGTCCCGCTTTAAGCACTGGGTTTCTTCTGGTTCCTTACAACTCATTGAAGCCCGTCGGTCTACTCCGGGTGACCGTGAGTTTGACCATAAACGAAGGATGTTACGTAAGGAAATTGGGCAAAGCTTGCGTAAGGACCGAGAAGCCTGGTGGTCGATGCGTGCTAATGAGCTGGAAGCAGCAGCTGCATCTGGTAACTACCGGAAGCTCTTCCAGCTCATCCGAGCCACTGGCAGCAAGAAGTCTGGTGTGAGTGAAACAATCTGCGAGGATGATGGGATGCCAATCACTAACATCCATCGACGTCTTGGACGATGGGCAGAATTTTTCGAAGGGCAGTTCAACTGGCCTGCTGCTCCGGCAACATCGGTCAGACTGTCCTGCCCTCCATGGCCGGTGACGACTGATCCACCAAATGAGGAGGAAGTCCGCAAGGAACTCCAACTCTTGAAGCGTTACAAATCACCTGGCCCAGATGACTTACCTCCGGCTCTTTTTAAAGATGGTGGTGACTTTTTGACTAAGGAATTGACGACGTTGTTTACAAAGGTTTGGGAACTAGAGAGTGTACCAACGTCATGGAATGAGTCGATAGTTGTCCCTATCTTTAAAAAGGGTTCACGTCGTTCTTGTAACAACTATCGGGGGATAAGTTTACTTCCGATTGCGTCCAAGCTATTGGCTTCCGTCATTCTTCGTAGGTTGTTCAAAACCCGAGAAAGATTGACTCGCGAGGAGCAGGCTGGGTTTCGTTCTGGTCGAGGATGTATTGATCATATCTTCACCCTCCGCCAAATGTTAGAACACCGCCATACTTTTCAAAGGCCAACAATCGTAGTGTTTCTTGACATCAGGGCTGCCTTCGATTCGTTGGACAGGACTGTTCTCTGGGATTGTCTATTGAAGAAGGGTGTGCCTGAGAAGTTTATTAACATCCTAAAAGCCCTGTATAAAAACACCTCAGGCAGAGTGAGGGCATACAACCACCTCTCTCCATTGTTCCATTCGAGCAGTGGGGTTAGGCAGGGTTGCCCAATCTCACCATTCCTCTTCAACTTTGCCATCGATGACATTCTGGAAACAGCTCTGATGAATGTAAGTAATGGTGGTGTGGATCTGTTGCCTGGAGAAAGACTTCTCGACCTTGAGTATGCGGACGATATTGTCTTACTGTGCGATAATGCCCAAGGCATGCAATCCGCACTTAATCAGTTGGCAATCAGTGTCCGTAGGTATGGTATGTGCTTTGCACCTTCGAAGTGCAAAGTACTTCTACAAGACTGGCAGGATTCTAATCCTGTACTCACCCTGGACGGTGAGCAGATAGACGTAGTTGAGAAGTTCGTGTATCTGGGTAGCTGCATAAGTGCTGGTGGGGGTGTGAGTGATGAGATCAATGCACGAATAGTGAAAGCCAGAGCGGCTTATGCCAATCTGGGCCACCTTTGGCGCCTTCGTGATGTTAGTCTGGCTGTAAAAGGTCGGATCTACAACGCGTCGGTGAGAGCAGTTTTGCTCTATGCTTGTGAAACCTGGCCTCTCCGAGTTGAGGACGTTAGACGACTCTCTGTGTTCGATCATCGCTGTCTCCGAAGGATTGCTGACATTCAGTGGCAACACCATGTCAGTAATGCAGAGGTTCGGCATCGTGTGTTCGGGCACAGAGATGATAACTCAATTGGTGTCACCATCTTGAAACACCGACTTCGGTGGCTTGGACATGTTCTCCGAATGTCGTCCCAGAGAATTCCACGTCGTGCATTATTTGCCGACTCTGGGACTGGTTGGAAGAAGCGGAGAGGTGGTCAGTGCATGACATGGTGTCGTGGCATGAAAGAAAGCTGCAAAGGACTGGCTTGTGTTGGTCCTTCACGACTCCCTGGTTGGGGTCCGAGAGATGGTGCTACACAGTGGCTAGAGACGTTATCAGATATGGCTCAGAATAGAAGCCAGTGGCGATCCTGCTGTAACCTTCTTTTACTTTCTTCATAAAAAGTGGTTGTGTCTCCTTTACCTGAAAGATTTCTTCTGATTGTACCTTTTCGTTCCGTCGTTACTACCACACTACCTTACTCCAATCTCTTCGTCATTGTTCTCTTTTTCTTTTGCGTTCCCTAGTTTTTTTTTTTTCTCTTTCTATTTCTCTTCGAATTTTCATTGTTTTGTGTGGCGCATATATATTGGCGCTCTCTTGTACCAATATTTATGTGTTCAAATAAATAAATAAATAAATAATCTATAAAATTATTAACTCAAACATACTGACTTTTTATGGGTTTATGCTTTAAAGTGTCTTTCTGTGGAAGAGTATGAAGTAGTTTTAAAAACCAATTTATAAATCGTGTTAAAATTAGAATAGCATAGTTTGAAAAAACATTAACTGAAGTTTTTTACCTATTAAACATTTAAAGTAAATTAGAATAGGGGAATTTGTGGAGATTGTGGTAATTGTAATAGTTGGATTCATTAGTCGATCTGCACCACCATTGAGGATCTGGATGCACTGGACGGCCGTTTTGTCCCAGTATGGAATTCCTCGATTGTGCGCGAGACCGAAGGTCAGCGGTTCGAGTCCTGCATGTGGGATCGTGTATGCGCACTGCTGAGGAGTCCCATAGTGAGACGAAACACTTGTCCGATGCTTTTAGGTTTTCATTGGTGGTCTAGCTTAGATCGACTCATGAATTCAACAACTACAATTACTTTAAGTAAATGTCTGCAGTGACAAAATACAAAAAATTAACTTACGATGAAAGATTATTGACGGGACAGTAGTAAAACCTTGACCAGAAAATCGGCAATTTGATTTGATTGAGCAGACTCGTCCTCCTCATCATCATCGTCGGAGCTAGTTGAGTCTGATTCGTCACTATCATCACCGTCACTAGTATCACCACGACTGCTAGATGAACTTGTGCTGTCACTTTCAGTAAAACTTATAGTAACTGTATTACTACTAGTGGTACGTAGTTCACTTTCATTTAAACTGCTGCTTTGATTTGATCTTGAATGATCTAAATCATGTAGACATTTTTTATCTAAATGTGAATAATTTAACTAACCACTTAACATTTCATTTATTCCGTTTGCTTCTCTCGTTTCCCCTTTCACATTATCAGCAGTGTTTTCGAGTATATCTTCTTTATTGTTATTATCACTCATCTGGCTTATATTTGACTAATATACAACTATTTGTTTATCGATCGTAACTTCGATGTTAAGAATATTTATTTTTAGATATTATAATTTAAATGGACGCCATAATATATATATATATATACTATTAAAACAAATGATAAGAATGATGGTTTTAATACGAAAATATTACTTATAATCTACTTGATGACCTTGTTGATTTGTTAATTATAAGTAGGTTCCAAATCTAGATAATATGGATATATTGTTTAAATTCACCTTAAGATGACATTAAATAACCTTTAGATTGTATCATTGGTCAATCATAATTGAATATGTATTACTGTTTACCCTCTTCTAATGAAGTCAATTTCAATTTTAAAGTCTGTGGAAAGATTTCAAACAAAACATAACAGTCATTAAAATCCCTAAACTTCATATTGATGGTCTAAATGTGATAGAATCTTGTACTGTTTGTATGTAATGAGAAAATATAACTTTAAACATATTTTATATTAGGCAATATAAAGAACAGATGGAAATTTTCTCGATTTTCTGTATTCATGAGAATGGTAATATTATATACACAGTAAAAAAAAACGAAGTAAGAAGGGTATACAACTAGCTTCATATAAGAATGGTAATATTAACATTTGAATAAGTTAAGCAAGAAATATTATTATACATTGTTAATATAAAGTTTACGTGTAATGAATTCTATATGAAATGAGAGAAAAGAAAAACAACAACTTACAATAAAGTTTGAGAAGATTGAATATAAGGGAAGTATAAGGGAAACATTCCTTATAGAAACATTCAGTTGGATAAGTACTATGTTTTTCAGAAGAAAAATAAAACAGCTGATTGTATAATATATGTGAAAATTATATTTGAAATAATCTCAGTGATTGAAATTTAAAATAATTCCAACGTTTCGTCCGGCTAACTTGCCTGGACTTTTTTAGAAAAAGTAATGATCAGTATAGGGTTAGGGAGACTGTTCAGTTTTTGATTGGAATCATGAAACGATTGATGTTAGGAATTCTGAGAGTTCAGATGAGAAGCCGTGACCAGTGGAGCTAATCCATGTTAGGTAGAGGCAGGTATATACCTCAGACAATCGAAGATGATTGCGAATTTCTGTGAATTGGTTGAAGTTAGACATTATTACTGTTGTAAGGCGGTCCATGAGTCTAGGGGCTAAGCGTTTGCAAAATAGACTGAAGGTCCTGGATTCGAATCGTGAGAGTGGGATCGTAGATGAGCACTGCCGAGGAGTCCAACACTAGAACGAGACGGCCATTCGGTGCTTCCAGGTTTCCAACGGTGGTCTAACATCAATTGATTCATGATCTCAACCAAAAACTTAACAATCTCCACAACCCCCATACTGATAATATCAATTGAATTTAAACTTTACCCTATTGCACAACCAAGTGGCTATCAGGACTGAGTATCCAAGTGGATAACACGATGGCGTTTGAAGCGAACTCTACCGGGTGTGAGTCCCGAAGTGAACATCAACTCTGAGATGCAAGTACATCCAGCTGATGTGTCCCAAATAGGACGAAATGCGTGTCCTGGATTCCACTCCTAACCAATACCCATCTATGGAATTGATAACGGTTTGAAATCTGTCTTCTTCATTAGTAAATAGATAAACCCAAAACTGTCTTTTCAAAGTTATATGTTGGGGAAGATTTAAAATTTTTACATTTCATTTTGTTATTTTTAGTATAATGTTTGTGCTTTCATATTACGTTATACTTAGTGGATTGAAACTAAAAAAGAAGTCCAGAAAGTAATAAATATCCTTTATTTCAAGCTATTTGACGTATCAAGATCGTTTAGAAAATGACTCTATGTTGCAACGAAGAAATATATTTCTATGTTGTGTCCTTCAGAATCATTCAATTCTAGGAAGATGTAATATCTTCAACATTCTGTTGTTGCGCTACAAAGACTCTTCATCATATTTCCACTTGAAAACACTTATATGGCCAGAAACATTTAATAAAATTTTGAATGAATTTTACCATTGTGAAAAAGATAGCTGCACTGAATTGGTATTCAAATGAAGCTTTTGAGTGCCAATATTAGGCCAATCGAAGTGCATTTATTCACATGATTTCTCGAGACTAATTTAATTAATGAACAGATTTGTTGATATGTTGAGAAGCCGACTTACACAAATGAACTGTAAGGTAATATGTGCAGCTAATAGAACAACTGTTGAACATTCTAAAACATTGTACATATATGATCTTACATGTGTTCTTATCCGGAAACTCTTTATATTGTGGTTAGTAAGATATATTTTATATTCTGGTTTACTATTATCATACTCAGAACGAGAGAAAGAGATAAATGTCAAATTTCTTATTCTGTTGTTAAGTGACTTTAGGATTGCACCTTACGAAAGAGATCCAAACTGGAATTAAATCACTTTTGAGTGCTTTCTGACTTTCAGTGGCTTACAAGCAATGCTTTATCATTTGATCTTTTAATAAATATAACCAGGCCATTCAATAACAACTAATTTTTACTTCTAAAAACTATTTTCAAGTTGAAATAATCTTATTCAACAACTAGTTAGGAATATTAATAAGTTACAAACAATATTTATCGTTTGAAATAAACTACTTACTAACTTACGCCTGTTACTCTTCATAGAGAAGTATAGGCGGCCCACAAGCACTCTCCATCCAACCTTGTCTTGGGCAATACTTTCCAGCTATTTCTAGTTGTTATTCATCCTTTTCATATCTGCTTCTATTTTCCAACGTAATGCGTTCTTTGGCATTCCTCTTTTCCGCTTCCCTTCAGGATTTCAAGTTAGGGCTTGCCTAATGATGCCATTTGGAGATTTCCGTATAGTATTTTCTATCCATTTTCATCGTCTTTTCCTAACTTCTTCCTCAGCTGGGAGCTGGTTTGTTCTATCCTAGAGAAGGCTGTTGCTGATGGTATCCGGCCAATGGATGTTGAGTATCTTGCGTAGACAGCTATTCATAAATACTTGTATCTTCTTGATGATGGTTGTAGTAGTTTTCCAAATTTCATCTCCGTACAGTAGAACTGTCTTGACATTCGCATTAAAGATTCTGACTTTGATATTGGTTGACAGACAGTCGTTTTGAGTTTCATATGTCCTTCAATTGTAAACTACATTTTTTTAAAAACAATTTAAAGTCTCCGTAACTATTTAAAAATGTTACAGTTGAATAAAACAGAATACAAATTAATGTTAACACTTGTGATATACTGACAGATAATGTGTAAATACAAGAATAGCTAATTTCAAATCGAGATTAGTTGGACTGTTCCAAGTAATTATGTTATAAATTTTTATCTACTTTTTCCTTGTTAATTACTCTTGTGTAGTTGATGAGATGATTTAAATCTTGCAAATCGTTTTCATTTCCTAGTGTTTACAGTAACTTAATATACTTTAATGAAAATTCATATCAGCTATTATATGAAACAAGCATAGAGAATATGCCAATCATTGACAAAGATATAATGTAAATTCATAGAAAGTTTTAAATGAATACAACTGTTCCATCACTATGTTTCTATAGTAACATATAGTATAGAATGATATAACGTTACAAAACCAGATGTTTATGAAATTCTTTGTTATTTAACATCAGTATTACTATGTAACTGTTGTCTCAACTAAGAGAAGTTCATTAGAATATTTCCATATTTTCTTTAACCATTCACTTCTATATCTATGCATTTAATATTGATCAGAAAGATTGTTCTATCTGAACTAATGAGTTTGTATTAACTTTTCAATGAATTAAACAGTGAATACTACTTGTAAAAACTAAACTAGTTTTTTTTTCCAGTATTTGTTTTAATTTTAGAAAAGTAGTAGTTTATTGATACTTAAGAAGATGAAAAATTTTCTGGTTAGCGCTTTTTAGCGAGTTAGTTTTCTATCGAATGGGGTCTCTAACATCATGCCAAACCCTCCTCCTTTACCCGGGATTGGGACCGGCAGTAACTCCAGAAGAGGTATAGGCAGAGTTAACCCATTTAAATACATTTTACTGTCCATATTTGTTGTGAAATAAGATTTTATAACTTATGACAAGGACTATATTCAAATTAACAATATAATTTGGAAAGTAGATCGATATTTAATGTATATTAATTCAATATAGTTAAGTCATTATTGTTCACAAGATGAAACTATTGATGTCAGCTCTTAAAATGAACAGGAATCCAAGTTAATCAAAAGGGAAACAATTACGTTTTACAATAAAATAATATTCTTATGTGTGAAATATTAGAAATCAATCGGATTAGATGAATGTAATACGTGCTAACATAATAGTTAAAATATTATTACCCGAAATGTTACTTATTTGTTAAGATAGAAATCTTCCTGGGTATGTCTTGACTCATATAACCTCTTTTTAGTTCACTTCATATTTGTCATCATTTATATTTGATGAAACGTGTTTGTAGAACTGTCGGTTAAAGCTCCATATAACATATAACTTTACTAAATAAAGTGGAAAGACTTGTTTAATTTCGTGTATACACGCATTAAATGGAATTCATAAAAAAGTCACATCTATTTCCGTGGAAAGATTTATATTCTCCATGGAACTAAACATCTATCATTGAATAATCACAAGCTTAACTATGTTGTTCACACTGAAAATGAATTAAGTTTTCAGTAATTTCAATAGTTGAGATCATGAGTCAATTGAAGTTAGACCGCCATGAAAACCTGGAAGCACTGGACGGCCGTTTCGTCCTATCGTTGGACTCCTCAGCAGTGTGCACCCACAAGACCGCCTCGCGATAATCGAACCCAGGACCTAATGGTTTCGCGCGCGAGCACTTAACCACTAGACCACTGGGACGGCCGGCATCAAACGATGTTAATGTCTAACTTCAACCAATCCACGAAATTGAGCGACACATCCACCATTGTCCTTAGTGAGTTACTATCTCACAACAGACCTGGTTGAACTTCACTGGTCACTGCTTTATACTAGAACTTCAGG